CAAGTAACTTGATCAACACTGGTGAGGACCTTAAGCTGACTGTTAACTCTGCTCCAGCTCTCTGCAAAACCGCTAGTCTTTTTACCACTGCTCAATATAAAGCATTCTATCATACTGTACAACAGCTTGGTAGGGAAACTACACAGCTGCTGACAAACCGCTGGCAACCACCCCTCAGCCTCCTAGTAGATACCTCTATGGTATCAACTTGAAACTCCTACTGCTCCTCATTTTAGGGTTCTTGCACAAAGTTAGGTATCCACACTGTCAGCCCAGCATTACAGCAACATTGTAAAGGACGTTACCAATCCATTTTATCAGCCATCCTCTTTGCTGCCATTCGGAAGACCGCATAGGGCTCAAAAGACCTGCACTTCCAGATTCAGGAACAGGTTCTATTGAACAGCCATAACTGCACTTGGTTCTCATTTTGGCATCCTTCAAGCAAGTCATGAGATGCACTTGGCACAATTCCCTTTAAATTGTGCCTTGTCTTTAAAGCATTCAGGTCAGTTTTTATGGTAGTCTGTATCGTCTTAAAACAATTAAAATTATAATAGCATTTCTCTTAAGCATATTGCATACATAGGACTGCTATGCCATTTTCAACTGTTCAAGAGAGACAGCAAATTTAACTGTATGTGTCGCACGAGACAGATTGCTATATTAGAATTAATCATTTCATCAAAGTGTGCCTAATAAAATGCCCAGTGAGTTTATAACTCTGATGTAAATAATTGGCAGTGAGGGAATGTCCCCATCTGATGTAGATAATCAAGACCATTGAACCTGTGACACTCGTTTCAGCTTTTATTTCTCATTCACTCATCCATGCAAACCTTTCAACATCCATACCTGTATGCACACAAGCTTCCATTAGGAGTACAAGATAGCATCATTTTGTTTTTTTAAATAAGTAACAAAGGACTCTAGTCAGATTAACTGAAACAAAACTAAGAGACTGGAAAATGATGCTTTTTTCCCTTCAAGTCATTCTCATATTCACCAAAACTTGAAGAATTTCAAGAATCCTGTAATATCAGTGTGCACCTCTAATTTCAGATACAGCAAATGCACACACACACTGAAATTTTAGGGACCTTTAGTTTTCGAAAAAAATGTCCACAATAAGGCTAATTAAGCAGAGTCCAACTTGTCGACTAACCACTTATAGCAGATCTATATGAAAACAACTGAAAACAAAGGGCCACTTTAGAACTGCCCTGAATAGAGACCATAACAGTCTGGTGAAAAATACTACCTGTGTTTCTATAACGTCAGCTTGTAACCATTGTAATAGTTGAAGATCAGCTGATAAGGCATTTTAGATGAGTTCATGAACGAGAAGCAGTCGACGTGGACTCTGCTGTGCTGCCCTGCCTTCAGCTAGTATAATGTCTGCCTTGACTAAAGCCAGCCTGGCTATAATGCTGCCCACCATGCTGGAAGAACTGTTCAAACTGTCCTCCTTGGTTAAAATTCTGCCCCCCTCTTCCTCCCCAGCCCCCTCCTTGTCCTCCTCCTCCCCTTCCTCCTCTTCCTCTACCCCCCCGACCTCCTCGACCGCCACCTCTGTCTTGGTAATGACCGCCGTCATGGTATCCGCCGCCTCCTCCTCCATGGTAGTTGGGATCCTGGAAGCCTCCTTGGTGGTTTCCTCCATAACCTCCTCTTCCTCCTCCCCCGTGATGACCTCCTGCATCCTGATAGTAGCCCTGGTTGTAACTGCCTCTCCCTCTTCCACCTCCTCCTCTACTTCCTCTCTCCCCGTGTCCTCCTCCCCCGGCTCCCCTCTCATAGCCCCCACGGCCACCTTGAGAGCCGTGATCGTATCCTCCCCTGCCACCTCCGTGCCCACCGCTGCCATAGTGTCCTCCGATTTGGGGAGCATCTTGACGCTTCTGCCAGGTGGGCATCTCTGGAGGCGGAGGCTCAATCTCACACGGCCGACCTCCCCTGTCTGGTACTCGGCCCATCAGAACCTGAGGAGAGGAAATGTGCTGAAATCAAACAGTTGTGGGACGCTTGACCACAGCGCCACTAGACGTGACGCGTGGATGACCAGGAGAAACATTTCAAACTAAAGTTAAAGTTACTGTGCTGAGCTTTATATGTTTATTACCACCAAACAGTCAGTATTAAATCAACGCATTTTACACTGAAATAAAAAACAGAGTAAAAGACATGAAAAGGAAGAAGGACAGGTGTCACTGCACTGATGAGCCCACCTTATTGATGGCACAGGCCGTCTTCTCTCTTATCTTGCCGCTGCTTGTGCGGAGGATCTTGGAGAAGTCTTGGCGAGCGGCAAGAAGATGAGCAACAGAGACTTTACTTTTGTTGGCAAGAGCTGAACGCAGTGGAGGGTAAACTTTACTCAACTTATCAGCATGTGTCTGAAGAGAGATGAGCACAATAAAGCCCATAATCCACAACAGGACAGTAACACATCTATTGTATTAAACAGTATTTTTCAAAGTATATGACTAAACACGAGACTCAGAATCAACAATCAACTGGCAGAATTATTTGAAAAGATGATTACTCTTTTCATCATTTTATAGCAGTTTATAATTCCTCTGGATTTCAGGCTGTATCTCTTCAGGAAACCTCTAGAGGCAGGAATTTCTCACCGTTTTATATTATTTTCAAATAATAATTACTTATGAAAAGTTGTGGTCCGGATGAAGTTATAACTTCAAGTCCACCTATTCTGCCTTTTCATATTTTCTGTCATATCTCCTGTTCAGATACTCATATTAAACATAACCAAAGTTTAAATGATGAGTCCAGCGTATGTACATGTGAGCCAAAAGCTCAGGCACAAACTCCTACTCCTGGCTCTATATGATGTCAGCGAGAGCATGTGGCCGTAATGTCGCACGCAGTTCTGTTTGTCAGCAAAGCAGCCACACCCACCAAATGAATGGTGACCTTACAGGAGAAGAGCCAAAATAGCTGGTTTCAGATGCAGGACAAACTGACGGCAGCACAAACACCGGTAAAAGATAAATAAGGACTATTTTGGTTTTGGCCCAACATTTTTATAGTGAGAAGAACAACATTTAAGAGAGCAGAAGATTTTGTAGCTAACCCAATTAAGAACATTTGCTATGAAAGAGAGCAAAGAGCAGTACCTCTGTAACCCACAGTGCTCCTGTTTAAAAAGCTAGACATGTGCTTCATACTTGGTTAGGAGGATGCCACGTTGCTACGTACCTTTGCTCTATCGGACCAACCGAAGGACTGCACCGTCACGTCAAGACGTTTCAACAGCATCTTCCTTCTCACCTCATACTCATTCACTAGCGCTTGGTTTATAGCCTCAATTTTTTCCTAAGGTAAAAAGATTAAGAGAGAAGAAAGAGTCTTCACATACTATTCACTGACTGTTCTGCATTTCTCCACCATTTTTACTTACCATGTGCACAGGTCCAAGGGGCTTCTTTAACAACGGCTCCCCTACATGGTTTGGTGGAACTCGACTAAGGGCTTCTTTCAGCTGAAAGGAAAAAGAGAGCATGTGCAGATGTGTGTAAGTTGAATTGTAAAAGTATCTGCTTTCAAAGAAAAAACACTTTAGGAGGGCAGGAATCCTTTCCCTGACTTCAGATTGTCAGCCTCATGGTTGGTTGTTGCAAAACATTCATTTCTCTCAGTGTTGCTGGCAGGCAGCTCACATCCTTCCTTTGCTTTTAAGCCTACATTTTAAAACTCGTTCACTCATTGTAAGTTTACACACTTTCTAAAATGAACACGAGTACCATGCTTATACACCTGTTTTACACTAAATGTCAAAAAGAGTGAAAACAGTGCTGAGCAGTGCTTTCATGTAATATCAGTTTCTACCACAAGATGGTGCAGCATCCAGTCATAATTCAACCTGAAGAGGAGGAGCACTGGGACATGACAAGTATCTATTCCAAATGATAAAAAGTCCACATGACAGCAGCTTTCTACAGCTTTGGAGATGAAAACAATGAGTGATGATGTTGATTGGAAGCCACAAAGCAATGGCTATATTAATAAAGTGCTAATGTTTCCCAAATGGACTTCTTCTTGTTTGTCATCAATTAGACTTACTTTGCTGTGGAATCTAAGAGCAAACCATACATTTTATTTTCTTCATGTTAGAGGGTGGGCAACTACACGAAATATTCTGGTAAAACACTGCCCCTTGGTGGTAATAGTTTGGGTACATTTTGCAGAGGTCAACAAAAAAAACCCAATAACAAGAAGGCTTTGCATTTCTCTGTAACGGTAACATGCAAAATTCATTATGAAATTCTGCCTCGGCCCTGAAACTTTAGCCATTTTATGTTTATTCACTGCAAAACAGTTATATTTTAATCATTTATCTCATATATGTGAAAACGAATAAATTAGCAGCAGTGGGAAATCTTTGGGTTGGGGCAGGCAAATGTTAAAGTCTGCCTAGAGTGCTGACACAGATGAGATGTTATCAGATAATAAAATATTAAATAATCATCATAAACATTTATAACCTCTCCTCTCAATTACTACAATGCACTTCCATTGCTCGCTTACGGCTGGTGCAAAACACGCTGCTCAAGTTTTTTCTGGTGCAAGTGAGAGCACATCACTTCAAGTTTAGCATAACTTCAGTGGCTGCTCGTTTATGAATTCAAAATCCTTTTATTTGTCTTCATGTCTCTTAAAGGTTCTGCCCCATTTATCCGTATGAGCTGCTGCGCCCTTTTGTCCCAGATGTTTTTGCTTGTTTCAAAGGTCAGAGGTGACCTTTACAGCTGCTGCTCCTTCACTCGTCGTTTTTAACTCTCACCCAGTGCGAGTTATCACAACACGATGTAATATGGTGTCGCTCTTTTTTAGAGACCCTACTTTATAGTGGACACCACCTCTGTGTCTGACTGACCTTCTTCTCTATGCCACTGAAGAACTGGAACATGGTGATGTTGGCTGGAGGCTTGGACATGCCCAGTGCCATGCAGATGCCCTTCAGTTCTTGGAACGCAGGGCTTCCAGACTCCTGGGCTTTCTTCTGAGGCTTGTTAACCAGGATCATCCTCGACGCCTCCAACTCAGAAACCAGAAAAGCTGAAACCCCCCAAAAATGAATTTGAGTAAATTCTTATTGCTTTGACAGTGAGATCAGGTTTCTGAAAGTCACATTTCAAACAAATCAGCTCCACTTGAGATTTACAAGTCGGCACTAATCTGTGTTTTGAGGCCAAGACAGTGAAGCAATACTCCACCTTCATTTACTTCCCTCTGAAAAACCGACTGGGAACTGCCCAAGTTAAAAGACACACAGAGTGTCAGGGTGAAAACTGTGGCGACAGCCATGGCTGCGTTCTGTCCAGACAGGTCAGATCCAGTATCCGCTGCTGATTTTCCTGCCATCATCAAACTATGTTCGTAGTTGTTCAAGCTCAGTTTAGATTTATTGCTCATGTTTGACTCCTGCCCTGCCACAGAATGGTGAAATGTCCACTGTACAGCACCTTTCACCTTATCACAGGTGTGAGAAGCAGTTAAGAAGATGGAAGGATGAACAGATTTTTGTAATTTGTCATTATGTTTTCCTGACCTGATTCTGACCTGAACTACAGCAAAAACATGAAGCCAGTGGACCTCAGTGTTTATAGTATAATTACTCAGTTTATGCGCTGATGAAGTCAGGAAATTCAGAGGATGACAACATGGGTGACTACAGTAATGCTGCATGAACACCAGCGACTGCACAGACAGATTTGCAGATTTATGGATCGTGTATGAGAGTAATCCACAGTGAAAGAAGTAAAACTAGATGAAGGCACCTACCAGAATAAAGACACTTCATTTCTAAATGCAGCATATTACTAGTAAAGCTGCCACACCTTCTCCAAGCCAACAGGTAAAACTGGACACCTGCTGAATGTATGAGTCCTTAAAACTCAAACACCAGTGGCACACCCACAGTGAATGTTTCACTTGTTTTGCCTGCAGTGAGAGCATAGTGCGCAAGACTCACGTCTTTCCTCTCCTCTCACTTTTTTTTGCTTTCATCCACATTAGACATTTAAATACAGAAGACATGTTGACATTAGGTGGGCCTTTATCACAGCCTGTGTGTGTCTAAGCAGTTCATAGAAAGTGTCAGTGTAGGTTTATGTTGCTCTTTAAAGACAGGCGTGGTTATTAAGAGTGTTTTTCGTACTTATAAGCAGCAGGCAGTCTGTCCTGTTCAGGAACCTCTGGGTAATGTCTCCACTGGTGAGGACAGAGTATGGACAGGTGAGCTCTGACAGCAGGCCGCTCATCTCCAGCTGGAAGCCCTCTGCCTCACTCGGGCCTGGAACAAGAACAAAAAGCACTTTCTAAATGTTGGCTTTTAGATAAACAAGTTGGTTAGATCTCATTTCATTAACTCATGTATGATACCCACAATCATGGACTGGAATTCGAGGCCAGAAAATAACAAACACTGGAATAGATGTTCATTAATAATCTGCTGTACAACTATTCAACAATTATATTTTACATTTGTTAGCATCAGGAAGAGCTTCATGTCCTAGTGAATGAGCAGCGCTTACAGTTGGTAGCATGGACATTTTCCTCCAGCTTGCAGTAGAGTCTGAGTTCTGAGACGATCCAAGCACAGAGCTTGGTAAACTCGGGTGAAGCTGCTCCTCCGCTCACAGCAGATTCCAGAGCTCCTTCTTCCAACAGAGGGCCTTGGTACCTGCACTCAATCAATCCATCACACACACACACACACACACACACACACACACAATTAGAGCTCATATTAAAAAACAACAACAACAACAAAAAAAAAAACACATAAAACCTCTCTCACTCTTGATGACGAGTAGAAATGAAGCCTGCTAAGAGAGCCAGAGCGTCTCCAAACAGAACCAAAGCACATTTTAAAATGTGGTTATTTAAGGACTCTCTTCTTACTGTCAGGCTTACATGAGGCAACGAAAGTGGCACGAGAGCCCCAGTGACTTGGGAGAACCTACTGGAAATTTCAGCGTATAAGAGATTAATCTGGAACCATCTTCTCTATCTTGTTTAGAAAACTGGTCTGAACTGGTTAATGCAAAATAATGTGTTGGAGCTATCCTCGTATGCATTTTCATGGCAGCTGCTGCTGCTGACGAAGCCTGTAGCTTATCATGTCAAATCACTGTGTAGGCTCGATTTGCATGACTATGTACACACATCAATATGACACTCATAAGCAGCGATTTTAAATTTAAATAAATAAATACACAACACCGCCCGAACGCTAGCTACCCCACCAATTTAGCCGTTTAGCTCAAGCTATATTTGTATTGCGCTGGCTAAAATAGAAAAGAATGGGCAGGTCTGCTCCCTGCAGCGTGGCTAGGCACACAGTGTTTCCACAGCGGGATACATAACCGTATTTTCACTTACCCTAAATCTTCCAGAGAGACAAGAATGTCATTCTCCATCCTACTGTTCCCGAGTTATCTACTAAAATCACGAAATACAGATTCCACATCAGCCAGCTCAGCATACACGTTTAACTTCTTCTCCTTCTTCGTTGGATTCATTGGCGGCTGTGACCCCAACTTGGATCGAGCTTTTTTCCGCCACCTGCTGGACTGGAGTGCGATCGGTGACTGCTTTCGTGTTTTTTTCTTCGCTTTTTTACGGCAGCTTGCAGTCTATCAGTGTTGCACTACTGCCATCTCTTGGGTTATACTGCGACACTTCAATTTCCTTAGGAATTTCTTCTGGAATGACAACTGCCGCACTTGTTTAATTTTTGGATTTTTCGATCCATCTGTATAAATCTGCAAATAGTCACTGTACTTGTACCTGAAAAATCCTTTCCTCTTTCCCAACAATTTTCTAACACTTTCTTAACAGGATGACTTTTATTATGACCTTTCAAATGTATCTAATAATGAACTATTAACAGTTTTCTTCTAATATATAGTGGCATTTCACCTGATTCTACCCTTAAAGCACATATTGGCATTGTTTTAACTGACCCTAAGCAAAGTCTCAAAAGGTGAGTACTTTTGTTTGCTTTGGACTGTTTAATTTTTGCTCCTTTCTTCTCAGGACCCCGGCTCCAGCTTCCCCTCCATGAAACTGGTTGTGCTGGAGATGTATTCCTGTTAAAAGTTAGTTCTTCCTTCCCACTTTTACCAACTGCCCCAACGTTCCCGCTCTAACAACTGTAGAGTCTTTACTGTACGATATGAAAGTGTCGATCCTAGGTAAATACATCTGTACCAAACTGATTTGTTTGCACTCTAAAGTTTTTTTTCTGTTGTTTTCATTTTTCACACCTTTTGCTTTGTTTTACATACTCACTGCCCAGTTTATTAGATATCATTAGTACCACATTGGACCCTCGTTCACCTTTAGAATTGCTTTCATTATTATAGATTCAGCAAGGTGGTGCTCAGAGATTTTGGTCCACATTGACATTGTTTCATTATGCAGTTTCTGCAGATTTGTAGACTGCACATCCATCATGCCAATCTCTTGTTTCAGTACATTTCAAAGGTGCTACCGGATTAAGATCTGGTGACTGTTGAGTCCATTTGAGTGTTGAACTCTGTTAAAAAAAAACTTTTAGATTATTTGAGCTTTGTGATATGGTGCGTTATCCTGCTGGAAGCAGCCATTAGAGGGCTGGTCCAAATGTTCATAGAGGGATTAACACAATCAGAAACAATACTCAAGCAGACTGTGTTGCGCTGGCTAACAGCTTCAGTGCACCTTAGCATTCCCCAAGTCCTTTGGTGATGGCGATAAAGAGAGCAGCCTAACATCATTAAAATTTCCAGTAGGTGTTTGGATGGGCTGACGTGATGAATGTGCAAGTCATAATATTTCCCTAAATTTGTCACCCATCTGTACCTTCATAATGTTGTCCTTTTTCAGAGCTTGTTTAGCCAACAAGTACACCATCTGATTTTGTTCTTTGTCCCCGTGACTATCATTCTGTTATCCATATTAGTCACTTTAAAATGAGACTCAATGTTCAGATCAACAACAAGAAAAATCAGAATTACAAAGCGCAATGCAGCTCTGTCCAGATATTTATGGATTTATTGTATGTAATCAAATGCTCCAAATGAGCAGTTTTTAGATTTGTGAACAGGTTGCTTTGAATTGGGCGTATGGCAGTGTACTTTTAATACTTTATGATGTTGGTTAACGTTGGTGTTTGCTCTTCATTTTCCATTGTTAGACTGAGGGCTTTTGTGTCAACCACACTGTACATGAACAAAACTGGACTGCGGGTCTCTTGGTTCGGTTCTCAATCCACATGTTGTATTTGATGAAAATGAAGTTTGAAACAGTCGGGCCAACACATCTTGGTTTGTGTGCGTTATCACTGTTTCCAACTATGGACAGAGGGTATACTGCATGCTCATCATTTAAAGCAACACATAAACTACTACAGGATACTGAGGAAGTCCAATGAAGCACAGACACCAGATAATACAATTAAAGCTTGTTGACATAGTGTGGCAGGATTCACTAAGTAAAAATAAGGCTTAATCCATCCAGTATAAAAAAAAATATAAATATAAAAAATATAAATTGCAGATTGATCCAGCCTGTCCCACGATTTTGCTTTTTCCACACGGTGCAGGACTTTTCCCCATGCCTGCCTTTTGGGAAATGTAGTTCTTTTTCCATCTCCAACGTTCTGTCAACATTTTAGTGACGGCTTCGGCATGGAGCTGTAGCCCTCCTCGGCCCACACCTCCAGAGCCACTGCTTTATCCACAGAAACAGTAA